AATTACACTCTATGATGTCGCATGCAAAACGATAGTTACATTGTTTTACATTATTGCGCAGGTAGCAACCTCCGGTACTCGAGGGTAATACGAGTGAATTCGGTTTGAACTCGGGCCGGGAGGCGTTCCTTTATTGAACCGTGCGATGCTAAAGCCCGAATGCCAAAGAGTAGCGGGATCGGAAGGAACGTACGAACCCTCCTTGGTCTCTCTCTCTCTCTCTCTTTCCCCCTCTCCTTCTCTCTCTTTCTCTTTCCCCCTCTCCTTCTCTCTCTTTCTCTTTATCTCTCTCGCTTCCTCTCTTTCTCTGTAGTATCCTGGTGCCGGGGTAACAGGGACGCATTCCAGGGAGGCGCGCAGCTGCTTTCAGCTACGCTTCGCGTCCTGAAGCTGCGTTTTAGCCACGTTTCCCGTATAACCAGTGGCGGATTATCACCGAGACGATTGTTTTCCTAAGTATCGAGATCCTCGACAGTTTCTCTTAAAGACGTAATCATTATTGCTTGTTATTAAATTATTATTAGCTGTTATCTTGGTATCTGATTTAATTATTTATTCAATATTAATTATTATTATCAATCTATGATTATGTGTTAATTTATTTTTATTATTTGGCTGAAACTACTTCTTAGACATATATTATCATTTTTTTTATTCGTGTTAGACTTTTAATGGGGGCTGTACCCTGTATGTATAGTCGAAAATAATATATTATATATAACGCTCTTCTGAATCTATCTCAAGAGTTAACCGATCCTGTCGGCGTCTTGGATAGAAGATCTCAAAAGCTCAGCTTGCGCTCGGGGCGTTTGGATGTTCTCCGCCACTGCATACACCGCTCTCGTTTCGCTCTCGTATGGGCGCCGCGCCGTGGCGCATTCCTAACAAAGTAGTCATCACGCATTCCTGGGACGCAATCGTGAACTTCCACCCTCGTTAGCAAAAGATGGATTCGTGCGCGCTAGACTAAAGAGGACACGTTATTAGAATTCATCCCGTGGCTGTCAGAGCGGGGTGGCAGGATGACATCAAGTTTGAATTCCATCGAGCCCCCCGAAAAGCGACGATTCGATAGCGACTTTTTTCCTTTCTTCTTTGTCATAATGCGAGGGATATGTGTATTGTTCACCGTGAAAGGTATATTCGAATTTTCTGCGGGAGTTAAAGATACAGATATTTGCTGTGTAGAAAAGAAATAAGCACGCATGAGCATGATTTTAATAATGATCATGTTTCAATGTACACTGTCAATCACTAAAAATCTATAGTATACGTAACATGACGGCACTGAGACGAGAATCTACTAAGAAAGTCGAGATTAATAGTTTGACTAGTGTAACAATAGATACTTTTAAAGTACATCTGTGAGAAAATAGATTTATTCTGCTCAGATGTGTGTATATTTCAATATTTCTTCATTTATCTTAACCCTACTCAGGGTATTATTGTTCTTTCTAAATAGCCACTATACCCAACTGCGTTAATTTTAAAGCCTGAGAAAATTATTCCTTTTGTAAAATTGTTTGGACACATACGGTACGCACACAAAGGACTAGAATTTTTGTCTAGAGTTTATCTTCAATGTTTTAAAATATATCATGCATTTTCAGAACGTGTGCAACATAAAGCTTTAACATCGTAGAACTGTATATGCAATGTTTCGTAGGCACCCTTTCTTTGCGTGACTAAAGGGAAGTTGGATGACCTGTACGAACAGGGATTTTCTCCACAGGATGTATAATGCTCGAACAGTATCGGCATAATTACACGGCTGACGTTAGTGTCACATCCTAAACAGTATGCCGGAGAAGGGTAGGGTTTCGAATTGCATGCACCTGCAAAGAACCCCATATTTCATCTGATGCTGCAGCGACTTTTGTGCTTTTACGTGCCGTGAAATGGTAAGGGTCATTGAGCATCCCTAATTTTTCATTGTCCCGAGAAATAAAACCAGGATCGATAACTGGATCCTAGATCGAGATTCGGATTACATCTGGAACAGCGCGGCTTTAACTCTTAACGCCCGAAGTGCGATAAAAGCTATTGTTCATAGATTAAATTACACAGATTTTTCGAGAGTATGCCAAACTTTGTAAATCACTAGGTTTTTTTTTTCCACTAAAATAGAGAACCGCAAATTTAAATCGAAAAGACCAATAAAACGATATACTGTTGCGTTTTAAAAGTTTCTTATATGAATGATACAAAATCATTCGCTATGAAATTATTTTAATACAATTTTGTAACTTTAATTTTACACGTGTACTGCTATATCTAATATTAAATAAAATAAAAGAAAATAATTGAAAATTAAATAGATAATTGAAAATAGAAACGAAGAAATTATCATGAATAAAATTACATGTATTATACACAATAGAAAAAAATTATTTCTTCCCTCATACTCATATAAAAATCTTCAAAACGAATCATTCTAAAACATGAAAAAATTCCAATTGTTTATTATTAAAATAGAATTATAGGTATCTACAAGTAAATGAAGAGAGAATTTGGATTTCCTTTAATAAATTTTTAATTTGGTTTAATTTACGAATTTTTTCATCTATTTCCAAGGTATCTATAAGTAAAGGATTCGTAGATCCTACACGACGTATGGTGACTGTCGCGTACGATTAAGTCTGAATACTAACTGGACATCTCGGACGGAGGGGAACGGGGGCTCCCTCGACCTGCACGTGTTTCCCCCGAATATTTTGCATCACCATTACCGCCAACTTGATGCCCCTTTGTATCGTGCACCGGAGGGGCAATGCCGTAGTTTCATTCCCAACTAGGCGTATCATTGGGGGATTCGTACCGCGCGCAGCACAGGAACAGAGACAAAGAGATCTATATAGGCTTTTATTTGGCAAACATCGCCGATGGACGGCCCGTACAAAGGACGGCATTGTCGCATATTTACGCGGACTGACAAACGGCCAAATACTCAGTGCGCACCGACTTTCGGCGAAAAAATATGTCCGCAGGCAGTCTTGCTTGAAAGTGGCATCGGTTATTAGCTGAATCTGCGGGGGCAAAAGCTATATACGTCGAAAAAAGAGCGGAGGCTGATCGACAACGAGCGCTACTCAAGTCTACACAAATAGATTCATGTCAATATAGCGTTTCGATATCTTCTCTTTGGGTTTTTTGCGTTTTTGTCTGTCATATTTTTCGATAGACTTTTATGTTAAATTGAATAGTTATTATAAAATAGTTCAAACACACATCTATATTTATCTAAAATAAATATTACATAAAATTATATTAGGATCGATGTTCACCAGTGGAAACTTCGTATTGCTCAAATTATCTAAAAGTTGAGTTAGCTATATTGTTAAATAATTCCACACGAATTTATCCACACATCTCTAATTCTGCAAATTGCTCAGCGAGTTTAATTTATATATTTTTTACAATAAAATTATTTACAGCTGATAAGCATGACATTTTAAATTCTTCTTTCATTTCTTCTACCTTTTTTAGATATAGAAAATTATGTATTGTATTGTTAAATTAATCTCTTCTCCGATAATATAATTATTTCTATAATCAGTTGGACTTTTTGTTATTTTTAACATATATTTTTTACCGCGTGGGATAAACTTGCTGCTCGCTCTTATATTGATTCCAACAATGATAAAGCCAAGATACACATATAGGAGGTAGAGAAAGCTGTCATTCTATAAATTTATCTTAAATTGATAAATTTTTGTTTTGTATTGTATGATAAAAAAGGAGATGTTGGCGGCGCCTAAAATTGATGTCCGACGAGATACGTCACTGAATCCGGCAATGGTCGGTCGGATATTGATCTCCGCTCGTACGTCGCCGCCGGTTGAGGATCACTGGTGCCGTTTTACCCCACCGCTGTACGGGCTCGCTCTAGCAAGGGCGGTTCCGAGCAACCGCCAATCGCGCTTCCACCGTTAGCTTCCACGGGGGTTGAACCCGCCCTCCTCACTTTCGCGTCGATGCCCCGTCTATCTCCAATGACGAAGACGAGACGCACACCTGCACACCCACACAAACGAGAAGGTAGAGAAAGCTGTGTGGGGGATGGGATTTGGAGGAAGGGAAGAAAGGAGAGAGAGAGGGGGATGATTTTCGCTGTCGACGAAGTCAGCGATTTCGTCAAAAAAGCGACGGAGCTCGCACTGATGACACATACGAAACCATTACGTACGGAGTGCGTTCGGTGCTGATAGTGGACAAGTGGATGTGGAAGTGGTCGGGGTACGAGTGCGGAAATATCGAGAGCGGTCGTCGTCTTCGTGTCCAGAATGCGATGCGGTCGTGGCATCTTGTGTCCTAAGGTCGTCCGGAAAGATCGTTGCGTTGAACTCGCACGTCGCAGCCCCGGCAGTTCGTCATGAGACTCGGATGACGTACGGCATTGCCCGTATCAAAAAACCGGTGAGGGCTAAACGCGACGATTGTCCTGGCCGTCGCTTTCCGCCGCTGATCGGAGGCACGAATATTCTAATCAAAACAAGATCGATGTAAGGGACTAATTTAGATTAGGCCTGAACTGACTTACTCAAGTGGTTAGATAGAGAGTTTGTTGTATTTCTATATATATTTAGCGCAAAATAACGCGAAGTTCTGATTTTTGATGATAAGTGATATTGCAGAAGCTGAACAATTTGAAGGATCAATTAGTCGCCGAGACGAGGAGCAAGTGAAGTGTGATCTATCGTCGAAAAACTTGAATCAAAAGTTCTAGCAAGACTTAAAGAGACACCTTGACATTTTCGAAATAATCGGAAGCCAAGAATAAAAACAGGCAAGAAGAAAACAGAGTGGTAGAGTTTTTTTTTTGAGAAAATAAACTTTTCCTTCTGAGATCTAACCCATCTGTCTTTGATCTAAAGACTTTTTATTCGGACATTGTGTGGCCTTCAAGTGTTTAGAATTCCAGCGAAAGCTTGCAGCAAAAACTTTAAAATTCCTTACAGCTCAAAAACTTTCTATCTTCAAGGTTCCAGTCAGAAGACACCATGTTGGAATTTTATCCTCCAGCACCTGGTTCTTTTAATCGTCAAAGCGAACCGGGCCAACCCTTGCCGACGGTTCCGCCTATTCCCTTTCGGCCCACAACTGATAATAATAATGCAGGTGAGAACAAATTAATAAAATGCATAAATAGTTTGTATTTTTATTCCGCGATATATACGTTTTTAAATTCCAAACACTCGAACGCTTTAAGACAATTAAAGAAGATAGTAAAGATATGATCGTTTGATCTATGATTTTTTATTCTCGAAAAATGTAAAACTATAGGCTGTATTCATAGTAAGATGTAAGAGTAAAAAATTGACCATACACAGTCGAATGTGAGAAGAATAATTGACTGTGATTTCTTACTCTTACTTTTTACTCCGTGTATTACAGACGACGCATTACATATTCATCTTAAGACTAGTCTTAGGCCGGTATTCATAGTCAATTCTTATATTCAAGATCGTTTTAAGTACAGTCTTAAGATGTCACGAACCAATCAAAAGCCGGTATTCATAGTCGATTCTTATTTCAAGATTACTTTAAGTTATGTCTTAAGATGCTAAAGTGGTCCTCTGATTGGTTCGTAACTCTTCAAGGCTGAACTTAAGACGGTCTTGAATATAAGAACTGACTAAAGGGCTGCATTCGCGTCTTAAGACATTACTTAAGACAATTAAAGTCTTCAAATAAGAACTGACTATGAATACCCTAAGCTAAGTTCAAGCCGTAAGAAATTGACCTATCATCATCGATTATTCTCCTCACATTCAACTGTGATTCTAGTCAATTTATTGAGTTTAAGTTTACTTAAAATCTCATTGTAGATGTTGCTTGAAACTTCCTCTGATCAATGAAATGATCGTACAATATCTCCAGAAAAAATCTCCCAAATTTTTATAATTATTTACTTTTCTAAAAGTATTAAAAATATTGCTTCAGAAATTCTTGAAAGTTTTAGGTCATTATTTTAGATCACATCGACTATTGATTACTTGTTTAATAAAACCAAAAATAAATATTTGCAATAGAGCTATTAAATATATTACATATATACTATTTTACGCGTTTTACAGTAAAAAAAAACATTGAATCTATGTTGAGAGAGATGCGATCGTGTCTCGCGTAAAGTTACGCGCAGTGGACGGCAAGGTGGACCGTGTATCTATCCGCACTACTGCGTTTTCTTCTACCTGTTTACCTACACAAACGATATCCAACCGATTTCGATTCACGGGACATCGCGTTTAGGAATAGTGAGATTGCGAATACCGCTATAATACGTCGGGCGTTTTTTCCCGCAGAACCATCCGTTTCGGTGAAGACGGAGTCCGGCCTCCTCGAGACTATCTGCGCCGGCTGCGGTCGCACCATCGCCGACAAGTACGTGATGCGGGTCGGCGAGAGGAATTACCACGAGGAGTGTCTCTTGTGCACGGCATGTGGCGCGATGCTGTCGCACTCGTGTTTCATACGCGACCTCAAGCTCTACTGCCGTTCTGATTACGAAAGGATCTTCGGGGTGAAGTGCGCGCGGTGCATGGAGAAGATCAGCTGCTCGGATCTGGTGATGCGGCCGGTATCGGGCCTGATCTTCCACGTGGAATGCTTCGCGTGTTGCATGTGCGGCCAGCCGTTGCCACGGGGCGCTCACTACATCCTCAGACAGGGCCAGCCGATCTGCAGACGAGACTTCGAACACGAGCTGTTTCTAAATAGTCCGCAAGGTGAGTGTCGCCTGTGTTTTATTGTGTTTTATGGACATGAGTGTATGCGTAATTGCGTTCCATCTGCATTAAGTTTCGAGTTCTCGCTCGACCGTTTTGAAATAGCGAACCTATTTGGATTATAATTCTTCTCTCTGAAGTATAATACATAGATAGACTAGAAAGGTAGGAAATACTCGGACAATTTTTATTTTAAATAATAACAAAGTCATTTGAAGTGAACACTTTGTTGTTAAAAGAATATGATAAACTATAAATGATTCTTTTATATATAAATTTGATTTGCTGTATACATTGATAAAATATGTGTAAATAACAGCGTAAATAAAGAATGTTACTGCCTGATAGAAATTGTATCCTAATCGAAAAGAAAGATAGTAATTTGCATTAAATGATAATTGCTTATCGAGAACGTTTTCAGAAAAAAATAATAAATCAAATAAAAGATTTTTGTCGTTAAATATTATACGCTATTATCTATATTTAAAAAAATGCTTTTACAAATTTATTATGAATAATAGCTACGCAGCTAATCGACGGACATGCTTACTAAAACGTATTTTCCGGTGATTATCGTAGCATTTCATGGGATGTTTTGCAATAAAAGCAAAAGTGTTTTGTGGATTTTGAAATTTAATTAATTTTACTCATCTTTCTATAGAGAGAGCAGTTTCTACATTTTTTTAAATAACGAAAGCAAGAAGCAATTTTTACTTGAGATTATGTTCATAAAAAACCGTGTTTTCAAAAAAAATAATCCTACGTGAAGAATAAGATTAAATAATAAAGAAAATATTATGAAGTTTTAATCAGATCAAATAGTTTTTGAGATATCCAATTTTGAAAACATTGTTTAGAAAAGAAAAACGTGCTTAATCTTTCTCAATCGTGAATATCTTAAACAGTCAGTTCTTCTTATTTCTCGGGTTTCTGGTATATATCATATAACTTACCTTTCTTTTCAGAAATAAATAAAAAATGATTTTTACTTTGATTAACAATATTAAATTAAGAATCTCATAGAATATTCCTAATATTCCTAGTATTTAACGGCAGGAGCCATATATCAGTCGATTTATAGTTTATTTTATAATTTTGTTAATTTTTACTGGATTTGATTTATATGTATAGATTTACATCTTAAGAAAATACGAAGACAAAAAATTGATTTTATCTGGTTTCCAACCTACTATCTCTCTTTAAGGAACTCAATATTGATGATGTATGCACGGACGTAATAATTTCTTTCGTACAATAGAAAGACCGTTCTTACATGAAATATGTATGAAATATACCTAAATCAGTATTGGCATGAATGAAAATGTGTGATGTGCGTATCATTATGTTGCATGAAATGAGTTTCCACAACATATTCATTTCTACATGAAATCACAAGCTCTATTTTCATCCTCTCGTTGATAGAAGCATTAACTGATATTACAATTGAGCGACTCTGCGAAAGGCTTAGTTAAGTAAATATCTCGACGTAGTTTACTCGTGCAGAATAAACCGAAAGGAGATCTAACGTTTCTTGTATGTACTGTTTTCTGTGACAAAACAAACTGCTCATTATCTTTCGTATCGTCTTGTTTCGATTCAAACACGTATCGATTGACGTGCCATTTCCAACGTCAAATTATAATGAATTGGGAATTGAGATTGGCGAGCGATACGAGCTTTTGGTCGCGAAATAATTTCACAAAGCCTCCCCTCAACTATTATCGCGGAATGCTTGAAAATACACCGAATAACAATAAAATGAAAAACCGTTGAGAAACGCATTGTACATACCTTGTTGCATTGTTCGCAGGTTGTACTACAATCTAAAGACATCCAAAGTAAAAATCTACAGGAATTTCGAAACAGGGCTGTTCCTTTTCAAGGTAATTACATTTAAATCAAGTGATAAACGATCGAAAGCGATATCGTATGGGGACGCCTGTTTCGCGGCGTTTTCCTAAAACTAGACATCGTTGAATTCGCCAATCCTTTCTCGCATAATCGAAATATCGTGATAATGTACAATATATCTTGCTACCAAGAAGGATGTGGAATTTATTCCATGGCATTTATCCGACCGATATCTCGACATAAATTTATAGCACGCGTTTCGAGATATTTTATGTGTTATCGATGACGATAGAAAATGATAAAAGAGCAGTTTGTGAGCCACCTATTTCTATATATATATATATATTCCTTTATCACTCTTTCTCTTTATATTACGCACATGAATGCGAGAAATCGCACAACAGAGAAACATTGAAAAAGAGATCTCGATAAAAATTTTAAAATAAATCTAAAAATTTTCACGGGGTAATGAAGCATTGCGGAAATAAATTTTTTAAAAATTATATCAGTATCGTGCAAATATTTCTGCCGAGTACCGCGTCGGTTTTAATTGTTCATCGCGCTTTTATTAATGATCCGCAATTTAAACAGCGATCTCGCTCATTGATTTGATCGACAATTCCACTGTTCGCCCAGTATTCCCACGGAGCGAAACAATTTTTAACAATGGAATTTTCAGAATTCTCGAAATATCCGCGCGGAAAATGGAATCCGCTCGCGTATGGCCGGTGCGTTTGTTCGCGGCCGACATATTGCCGCGCCGCGGTACATATGTTGCACGGTAGGCGTGGCCTGCGCTTTGTCGGATCACTGTCTGATCGAAACCACCCGTATCTACTGCTCGACTTCGACCACTGCCTCTTGCATCTGACGATCAATCCGTCGCACTGGGGTCACGAAATTCGAAACGCGAACTTATTGTTTCCGCAGTGATTATTTATTCGCTCTTATTATTCTCCATCTCACTTTGTCGTTCAATGTTATTTTCATAAGCCTTCGTGTCATAGATTTGTCCTTTTTAGCTGAACTTTTTACGTAATTCTCTATTCTCTGTTTCTCTCCAAAGTGGAAAGAAAAAGAGATAAACTGTGCAAGAAATTCAATTAAAGGAACAGGCTTAATTGGCTCTTTTATTAATTTTTATAAGAACAGACGTTTTACCAAATAAATTAAAAATATTAATGTATAATATACAATAAAATAAGAGAATATATGTATAAACGTATAATATTTTTTCAATATGACATTAAAAATTATAAATAAGTAAAAAATTAATGTTTTCTGGTAAAATAAACAAAATAAAGATAACTGTAGGCGAATAGCTCTCGCCTTTTATTATTAATTCAATTTTCTTCTTATTCTTTTTTATATTAAAAATTATAAAGAGAAACGTATTATTCTTTTTACGTATTACTTAATTCTGTTGTATTCTTTATTTATTTATTTGTTGCTGTTAGCTGTGTGTGAATGTATGAAGTGTTTTTTTTAATATTGAAAAGTATAGACACTTGAAATAAAAAATTAATATGAAATAAGAGAAAAGCGATGCTGTACACGTAAAATATTTATAAATATAAATGGATCGTATTGCTACAGATGATGACTTATTGGACGAGAATCGACCACGGGATGGCCGTCGGGGTCCAAAACGGCCGCGGACGATCCTTACGTCGGCACAGCGACGTCAGTTCAAGGCGTCGTTCGAGGTGTCTCCCAAGCCTTGCAGGAAAGTTCGCGAAGCACTCGCTAAGGACACTGGCCTTAGCGTGCGCGTGGTTCAAGTGTGGTTCCAGAATCAGCGCGCGAAGATGAAGAAACTCCAGCGGAAGGCCAAAACGGAGCCCGGATCCGATAAAGAGCCAAAGGAGGAGCGAAGGACGGAAAGTCCACACAGCGATCACAGTAAGTGGCCTTTTTGTCTTATTAGTCCAAGACCGTATCGAGAATTCAACGCACTACTGATCCTGAAGTACTTTTTTAAATCTGAACGTGAGGTTTCGAAAACGTTATTGTCTCTACGCATTGTACTTTCAATACCCGATTAATAAATAAATTTTAATAATTTTCGTCGTATTTTTATCACATTTGGGCTATCTATTTTTTTTTTTTTTATTCAAGTAAGATCAAAGTGTAGAATCGAGGAAAAACGCGCGGATTTGCGAAGACTGGTTAATGGGGCTTAAATAAACGAATGAGTTCAATGTCAATTGTCTAATCTCGTTCGCAGGTCATTACTTGAACGCCCTGAACATGCGCGATGGGGAATCTTCTAGCTTCCCCTCAGCCACCCAACCGCTCAACCCCAATAACCCGTACTCGCCCGACGGTAAGTCTTTACTCACCGTAGAAACTCATTTGCGCACCGGTGTCACAAACGGTATGTGCGTACTAACGCGTTTGCGTTCCGACAGTTGTTTACAAGGTATATCCCAGAACATGTGGACGATATTTTTGGGAGCAGACATTCTGCGGTTGATCTGTATAGTCGACTCACTAACAAATTTTTATGGAAATGTTGTAAACATTTATGAGTTGCAATTTGTACAGCATTTTAACATTTATTATTACAAATACTCTTTTAAATCCCTGAATTATTTTATAATAGTTAACGTAAAAATAAATTGTTACTAACGAAAAATTGATTGCCGATTGTAATTGACATATATTTTATCTGTCGTATTTTTGGTGATTTATTATAACACAATGACATGATAATGTACAAAAGGCGAATGAATAAAATTGATCAAATACGCTGTTAAAAACAAAAAATCGAATCTATAGAAATGTATGTCAATTGCATTTGCTAAATAATTTTAAAATTATTTTTATTATTATATAAAGTAGTAAAAATGTGTTTAATTATTTTATGTGTTTCTATGTTTATTTTTACATTTATCATAAAAAGTTTAGAAACTTAAATTGAACATATTAAAAATGCTGTAATTATTGTATTTCGACATATTTCAAGAACGTTTCTATTAAGCAAAATTTGTTTACTCCAATTCTTTTTTTAATCAAAGCTCAAATATATCTATACATTTTTAGAACCTCCAACAATTTTATGTGCCCACTCAAATTCAAATCAAATAGTTTCTATGTAGAGAACGACAATTTCTTTTTATATCCCGCGTCTGCAATTTTTAATAGTTTTTTTTCGATTCCAATCAAATTTATTATTTAATATCCAACTATTGGATATAAAGAAACTCATTTTTCTTTTCCAACGCAGTATATAATTTATTGTGTTAGACAATATTTTTCATTGTCTAATTTTGTATTATGTCACAGAAGTCTTCTCATTGTTGCAACTTGCATACCAGTTTAACAACATCTCGGAACGGTCGCATCTCGTCGAAGTGGTACTTTGTGAGAAACGACGAAATGCATATCTTTTTTTCCAGACGCATACCCGGGCCACTCGGGGGAGAGCTTCTGTAGCAGCGATCTGTCCCTGGACGGTACAGACGGCGGCTTTGACATCGGCGAGAACGATGGCGGCGGCGCGGACGGTAGTCATCAGGGTGCCTCGCATTCTCACCATGGCTCATCATCGCACGACACCCCGTCGCTGTCGCAGAGTCTGCACGCGGCCATCAACAATCCCATCGACAAATTGTTCATGATGCAAAGTAGTTACTTCAGCGGCGATCACGCGTAATCCAAGTTTCCCTCTTTCTTCCTCTCTCTATCTTTTTCCCTCTGTCACTGTCCCTCCGAAAGTCTCTGGAATTCGTCGCTTATTTCTCATCGCCTTCACCCTTCTGCGTCCTTTTCCCTGTTCTACGAAGTGATTTGCTTTGTCAACGAGCAAGCTGACGTAGCATTATTATTCAATTTCCAGCATTGAAGTGATCGCTATCAGTTTGTTGAATTTAGACGGTTTTCTATGCTGGTCGCTGCTAACCCATTTCTGGCCGACGTTGTAAAAATTTTATTTTACTTTTATTTTTACATTTTTTTCTAGATGACTTGATGTATTTTTAACATTTGAATTTGCAATCTCGACGAATTTTCAAAAAATATTTACTTTTCCTTCTGTTTCAGACAAAAATCTGTATTTATCCTCTGTGTGTAATAAATGCATATTCATAAAAACGTGTTACGAAGAATAGTTATTAAAAGTTTTCCTTAATTATATATTTTTCATTCTATGACAAAGACATCGGATGTATTAAAACTATAATGTTATGTTAATATAAAGATTTTATTCCTACGAACATTTCATGCTTTCAACAGCCTGGCTGCAGAAAAATTATCACAATGAAATACTTTTTTCTGAGTAAAATGAAAAACGAATTAAAAGAATACAGTAAAAAATGATAAAGTAGAAAAGTCAATATGATGGAAGAAACAATGCTTGTAATTTTTTAAATAATTGGTATCTGTACGTATATATTATGTATATTTATATGTATTGTATATATTATATTATTTACACCGTAAATTTTTAAGAATACTTTAAAAATGTTTAACAAGCTACTTAAATAAATCTGTCGATATCATAACGTTATTAATATGTAGAGTATAATAAAGCTAATAATAATTATAACAATAAAATTGATATTTATAAAAGCTATACTATCATTTTTATCGTTTATACATATATTATTCTAATTTCTCACACACATTTATATTTAATTTATTTATAATTTATTAATATTCATTTCTTACAACTTATTCCTTATTTTTCAATAATTCATATAAATGTTAAATATGCATGATGAAAAGTTTCTGTATCAAGAACAGAAAGACTTCGTATATTATCATGAAAATATATTTAAGAAGTTTAAGAAGATGTACAAGAAAAACTATGCTATAAACCATCTACTATCATATATGTTTCTATTTTTTTATTAATAAAATTGTACATATTTAAAAACTTCATTTAATTATACATATTAAAAATCCTTTTCTTTTTATGTTTGATAATTTGTTTAGTATTATTATATAATATTACATAATATTATTATACACATAGAACGTACATTAATTAAATAAAAAAATGTTACAATAATTAAAGCAATTTAAATTTCTTATCTTTTTTTGTAACAAACGGAGTTTTACTTTCAAATTTTTCTGAAAAAAAGACGAGATTCAGTTGTTTTCTTCTATAATATAAGTTATATAAGTTAAAAAATTATTTGATAACGTAATAAAGATGTTAAAAAATAACCCCTTGTTTGATATTTTTTTGAAGCCTGAAACAGTAAAAAATTTAAATTTAGAGAAAAAAGCTCCATATCGCAAACGAGAAAGAGAGTGAGAATATGATTGCAGACGGAGGAGATGTTATCTGTTTAATTATTAAGTATGTATATAATTGACAGCACATTAATGATTCAGGGATTAAGAACACACAGAAAGTACTTTCTGATCTTTTTTCACATATAAAACGGTATATTCAGATGTTTAATGTATTTTACATTTGTTCCTTTTTCGTGATCATTACTAATCTATAACTTGCGTCTCAGCTGTTAGCGCAGTAACTATTGTCGCCTCTACATATAATATATCTCACTACTGGTGGCAGGCTTTCTCTTGTTTTTGTTCTGATTTCAAATCATTCTCTTTTGTGTTATACTACTATCTTGATAACAAGTATCAGGATAGTAGCAACGTGTTTTTATCAATATGATAACGCTCGTAACATGCATGGGAATTAATGTTTAACTATTATCGTTTTGCGTGACATATTTTTATTAAAAATATCAATATAATTTCTAACAAGATTTTATATGTTTTTCTGGATTAAAGCTTAAAACTAATTTAAGATTTGCTTAAATAGGAGTATTTAGACACTATTCAACAATAACGTATTAATAGTTATAGACACTATTTAACAATAACATCTTGCGATTTTTAAAAGTTATTTTCAGATTGCAATATTACTTTCTCAGTCTAAGAATATTTTACATTTGCGACTATAGCATAGTGATATTTTTTTCAGTCTAACATTATAGCGATGGACAATTGTTTTTATTTTACTGAAGGATTTCTATTTCTATGTGAACGTGAGCAAAAAGAAAAAATATTATACAAGATAATTTACTTAACTTTAGATATGTTTGTCGTTTTAAATAATAAAGATAAGAATCAAAGCAACAATGTTTTAAGATTTCAAAGAGCAAGTAATAGGCAATATATAAAATTTTGTTTTTGTAATATAGTTTAAAAGAGATTTTAAGAACTCTATTTTTTTTTAAATGAAATTTTTTATATAAGAGAAATACAAGATAAGATAATCAATATATTTTTACTCAAAATTAATATTTTATAGAAACATAAAGTATAAAATATTTCATTAACTATTGATCTTTTAATAATTTAATTTTTTAAATACATTTTTATTACTTTTGTATACAGAAAAAAATGTTATATAAAAAATTGTGAGATTCTATTTAAAGAAACTCAAGTTACTATATTTTTATGCATAAAAGTATTACCAATAAGTGCTTTACGAATGCTTCTTAAAATATCTTAAAATCTTATAACTTTAATTCGTTTTGTCAAAATAAAAAAATATATTAAAAATATACATGTTAAATAGATCACTTTGTATATACAGATAAGATGTTTGTGATACATACGAAAACTACGAATTTCTTTTAAAGAGAGAAATAAATCCTATTGTTCAAATATTCAATTTCATATAAAATAATACATGATTATACAATTATATCTATTAAGCAAAATTATGTAATAAAGATATATATTGATACAAAATCTTATCACCTTCGTAACGGAACACTTGAATTGTATAAAAAAGAACATGACATTTAATTTTCTGATTGTTGTTCTAACAAGTTTATGGACCTTTTATGTAGCCTTTATGTTTTTTATAAACACTATAAACTTATAAAAGATCCGTATTATAAATTTAAATAAATATTAAAATAATTAAGATGTAAATTCGCTTTTACATGCATTTTTATATGCTTATTTCTTACATTGAGAAAAAATACTGTAAACTTAAATAAATATTTATTGAATTAGATATTTTAATTAAATATTTACTTACAGTAAACAAGCATGTATTCAATAAAAAGAAAATATTGTTAAATCAATTAATATTTTTTTTTATCAAATACATATATCTTTATGTTTACTAAATATTTAGTTGGCACTATTCAAATAAATTTTATTTAAATTTATAATATTTTTTTCTCAGTGTAATACATTTTCATTTACGCCTGCAGCGTGCATCTATATCACTACAATTTTATCCGTAGAAAATGGAACGTATGTATATTATAATAATAATTTACTTTCAATGTATAACTTTCATGTGTACTTTCATTTTTTCAACATTAGCTTTGTTGAAATGATGTCTTTTTTTCTTTAGTAAAAAGGTGCAATTTTTCTTTGATAATCTCAATTCAATTTGTCGATATCTCTTTTTTCGAAGAGATTTCTAATTATACCCTTAAAATTAAAATTACGAATTAATAAATTTTCTGAAATTTTAAACATACAAATTTTCATATTTAAAAATCAGAAGATTTGAAATTCAGAATTCGTTATATCTATTAGCAATTCACACTTTGGAGTTAAATAAAATTCTAAAATAGTTGAATATTATAAAAATTTTATATAAAAATTAAAGTGTTTCCTATTCATATAACATTTAGACATTTCTCACAGATAGAATATCGCAATAATTACTATATATGTATACGTATATCTAAAGTATTAAAAAAAAAAGAACTGAAAACATCGGATAACTACTCTGATTAGTTTTTCCTAGTTTATTTAAAAAAATCTCTTAATTTCAGGGCACTGTGATGGGCAAATCATGTAGTCACAGAATGGCTTTCTCTAAAGCGATTATCAACACGAAGAGAGTTTCTAATATGATACACAGAAAGAAATCAAACAAAAGATCTAATTTCACTTAAATTTTTGTTCCAGCTTAATGTTATTAAATGTCATTAAAACGGTTAAATTATTCTTTTCTGATATATGGTATACGTATGTATAAAATTTGAATATACAAAGCGTATTTATAAAATTTTCCAATTCCTGAAGAATTTACGTCGCACGAGTATCGATTATTGCCACATCCACTTTATAAAAAAAAAAATGAATGCCAGCTGTCTTTCTATAAGTACTCGTATCACCGAGATAAGAAGCTTAAGCGCAAATGTTTTATGAATAATTGTCTAATTGAAAAGTTCTTCCCGAATACCTACATGATATTCATATGTATTAACGTGTATTAGAAAACCCGCTTTAGACGTGACATTTATATATATACTAGAGTGGACCATTCGTATACGTACAGTGTGTACACGATGTATGTACGGGCATACGTACGCATACGTTGTATCTGCAGTACTCGCGGTCCGGTTGAACGCATAAGAATAAAGATATGCATTTCTCTAAAGTGGGTAATAAAAATCTTTAACAACGACCCGCGTGAGATGACGTCTTCCGATACATTATCGATGCTTAGGAGAGATTTCATCACAGATCGAACCACCCGATTATTTGCGATCGAGGGTTGTTGTCGCGAGATTTCGAATGCTCTTCGACAAGCTATCACGTCTATTTCTTGTATTACCTACCTAAGATCTAAGTAAATTCATGGCGGTGAAAGAAAGACGGATAGACAGAAAAAGAGAAAGGGACAAGCTTAAGAACTAGTTTGCTGTTCGACGAGATCGACATCGTCATGGCTCGTTTGTAAGCTGTGTCTCGTACTTCTCTCTACCTCGGGAAATATTTGCGCGTGTCTGATTACGTTTACTTGAAGGAGTTTACTATGTCTACGATGCTAACGTAGGTTCCCACCACGAGACCTAGCAGGCCGAACACGATCAGGAGGAGGTTCTTGATTAACATGATTTTGAAGGGACCGAAATCATTGTCCGGCCACGACACGCATATCTCGATAATAGCCGGGAAAGCGATGCCGAGGGCGGATAAGCAGAGTGCGCCGAAGAGGGAGATAAATAGGCCGAGTCTCGGTATAGCGATCGCCAGGACGACTGAAAATGATAAAGTAAAGATTAGATATCTGAGAACCTTCAAAGGGACCTTCAAATTTATACAATTTTAATATCTGACTAGTTTTATATGAGTTTGAGTACTTGGACATCACTACGTAAGTATTTTGTACTTTTAATTAATTATTTTAAAATTGCAGGTGAAACTTTTCATATAAATATTTAATATAATTATTTAACGCTTCTTGAAAATTTAATAATTATTAACAATAATTCAAAAAATTTTAATAACTACTTGATTATTCGACTAAGGTAAAATTTATTAATAAATTACTTACATGTGACTAGGGTAACAAAGGTTCGACAAACGTATTCCCATAAAATTTTACGGTTTCGTATTCGATGATCCAAATAAGTGGTCCACAAAATCTCGACAGGTACGTAGGCTTGCAGGGCGTATGTTATAAATATAGCGATCGCAAACATTATTTTAATACTTTGAGCTATACTGCAATAAAAAAGATTTTTTTAAATAAAGTTTGTAATATAATAGAAAATAATTCGATTATATTTTAAATTATATATATAAATCTAGATCTTAATTATATATTTAAAGCTAATTCAAGAAATTTTTTCATTTATTATTTTGAATTTCTTTATGATTTTAAATCACTTGAGCATTTTTCTATATTTTAATTTTAATAGATAAAATCAAGATAGATAATAATTATGCGAAATTTTAATTTACTGTTACAATTTCTTGATTTGTCTTATCTGATTTTATTTAGGAAATTAAAAATTTTTTCCTACTTACGCTTCTTCTGGCGGTAGATTAAAAGTGACACTTCCTGCAGCCTCGGATCCGTACTTCATATAGCCAAAAAAACCTATAGCTATGTATAAGATGACAATCACAGTCATCCCTATATTTAGTACACCACAATAGCCTCCAAAACTTTGTGGTGTTTTCATGTTGTTCTCCAGAGCTATAATCTAAGTAGTAATAATATTTTAAAATATTAAAATATTAAAATATCAAAAAATAAAAATTTTTTTAATATCATTGCAGTTATAGCACAGACGAGCAAAATTTTTTTATTTATCTAGTTTTTATAGTAATCCTAAAACCGATTTTAATATTTTATCTTTAATTGTACGTTTAATATTTAAAAATATTAATGTGACGAGATAAACAGATTGATCTAAAATGAAGCTTTAAAAATATCTTAACTATAATTAAGCATATTTTGATAAATAACGAATACGAACAATTACATCATTATAACGATTATATTTTCTGGGACCTTTGCATATTGCTCTCCATATGTTAATTTCTGTCATACAAAAAGATTTTCGTTTCCCGAAACGAGGGAGATTGTTATACTGATCGCAACTCTAAGAGGAATATATCTTTTCTGGACTTACCACACCGACGGCTTCTAATGCAAATAACGTCGTTCCAAAATAGAGGGAAAAATTTCTTAATGTACCAAACATCTCCCTGTCGCTGATCGGCGGTAGATCTTGAAACATATACCTTACAAGGATCATGGTGAGTCCAACGAAAGTAATAACGTTTGCTAGCGTGGAAAACGGCGCCAATAACTTCAGATTTCTAATGTAGTTTATCAAAATCAGCGGAAGCAACAAAATGAGCATATGGGTCGAAATATCCAAAGGTGCCCAATACTGATCTGTCACCTGCGTTCGTTAATAAAATTACAATGAATGCGTTGCTCACATCCATCAGACGGTGGGTCCGATGGTTAAAGTTCGTTGTCGATCAGCGAAGTGCTTTCTCGATAGGTAGCGTGTTACAGGAACAATCGATTCCTCGATTTGGCTTTTTCTTATTGCCATCATGGATTTACCTGTTTGATATTTGATGCTACAAATACGATATAAACGCAGCAAATTCCCAATTGATATGTTATCATAAACCCGTCTACGAGTCCTCTGGAAATAATAACATTTTTTTAATTCAACTACGGACTCGTACATGCTTTGTAACACACAAAACTCGGAGAAACAATTACTTTATCTCGTGTAGCAATTAATATCTTTTTTTAGCTTCTACATAAACGCAGCGATAGAACAATGATCATGTTCATTATTTTTAGTAAAATACATTTATAATAAATGTTTCATTTATACTCATTTAAGTATATACTTTCTTCACACTATTTTCTGATACAATTAATCATAAAATTAAAAATAAGGCATAGGCTTTATTTAAATGAATCATTCAATTTAAATTAATTTCTAGTTACTTGCAAAAATTATAGAAATGCATATAACTAGTAATAAAAATATTTTATGTATTTGTATCGCAAACTATCTTACAACTGTATCCGTTTTTGAATGAAATTATATTTAGCTTGCTTATTTATTTAACATATTGTAATAGAGACAATTCGATATGATAAATATTTTCGTATGTATAAAAATGTATATATATGAACTTTATTTGTTTATTATTCTTCTTTGAAAGATTGCTAGAATATCTGAGTCCTATATACTGCAGTCCTTTATTCATTATATTAATGAGCATTGAATTATATCAACTAAACTATAAACGGAAGATACTTACGGTGCGTAGGGTGAAAACCATCGTACACATCGAGGACCTTTCTCCAGAGCATATTTCATGCTAAGCGGATAACTTAATATAGGAACTTTCAACCGTTTACACAATTTGTACTGCGCCTTTACGAGTACGTGTAAGCAGTACGTGCACAATGCGCCTATGATAATTGTAGCAATGATGCCGACCACCATACCACTGTTGCAAAATGCATTCGGCATTGCTAAAATCCCCGTGCCCAAGCTGCCTTTCAGTAGATGAACCAGGGTTTCAAAATTTCTAAAAGAAAAAAAATTTTTCATTAACAGGATATTTTTAGCTGAGTTTCAAAGAATGCGTGGATGTAATTAATATTTTAACAATTAATAACGAATTAACGTCTTCAATATTAATGATAAATATTGCATTTTAATAATTCAATAAAGAATAATTCAGATTTATAATTTGATAGCAAATGTAAAGTTTAATAATTTCAGTAGTTAATTCATATACATTTATCAAATTTTTTTATAGTTTAATATTTCAAATTGTATCTAATATGTGTCATGCAGAATGTAATATGACAACAATATTATTATGTATTTGACAATATATTATCAATATTCTTTAAATACAACATTCTTTAATATAATTATTCAATCATATCTTGTACTTACGAAGTTGGATTTGGTCTATTCCGATGCATATGAGGATCGTAATCCGTATTTTCGCTTTGAGATAACATATTTTCAACATTATTTACACCATCAGTATTATTTACACAATCTGTATAAGCCATGACTTCGTTGTTCGCCCTGCGTATAAATTTTTTAATGACATTGTTGTGATAGAAATGGCTAACGAAAAATTAAAGTATATATTTTGCTTTTGAATTAATACGACGATCTTGTTATGTAGATTATATATCTATTATATTCATGCTATATTCATACATATTATATATTTCAAGTTTCAATTTATTCAAAACTTTTAACATTCTTTTTATTTAAAAAATATAAGATAATCAAACATATTCTTTATTTAATCATACTTATTAGGATTTTGAGAGTCAATCGGCTCCATACGTAAACATTGTTTCTCCGAGTCTTCCATGGTCAACAATTTCTTTTGACCCGTTTGTGTGTCGCTAAAACATTTTATTTTTATTAAACTGTACCTATATATTTATAATCGCACGCGCACACACACATATAATTTTTTAAATTTTGTACAAATAAGTAATCATTAATTTTGTCTTAACAGAGAAAGCAGCAAAAGCGGTAATATATTATAATTTTAAATATTAAACAAATTACGTATTACAATTATTTTACCTAAGACGGAACATTTATTAATTTAGTTTTACGAAATTAATAAAGTGATTGTTGATTTTATTCTATTTTAATAAATAAATGTAAAGATCGACATAAGATATCGACTCAGCTTACTTGGCTCATAATGGATTAAAACATAAAGCTATGAGAATCGACCTACATCGATGAAGCGGTCCGATACGTTAAACCTCTAATCAATTGGTATAAATATGGAGCAATAGAATAAAGGAAAAGTGTCAATTTACCATTGCAAATTCGTTGTACACGCACGCGGGCTTAGCACATTCTTTATGAACTGATTGCTCTTAATTATTGCATTGAGGTCAAATGCAACTTGAACTTAACTTACTGAAGGTTGCACTCGGATATCCTCGCACTTCGCTATTTGCGCCTTTGACCGTTTTGCATCGTTGAACTGGACGATTGATCTCAAATGCGCGCGCGAGGACAAAGTCTATCGTAAAATGTAAATTTGCGTTTAACGATTCACCTCTCCAGGTTAAAAAATAGATAAATGCGTCTCAAATTATGACAGAATTTATTATTATTAGACATAATTGTAATTTACTTAATATGTAATTCAAAAAAATTATTCAATTTTTGTTTATGGCATTATATGAGGGACTGCTGTATTATGAAGTTTTGATATGTAAATAATTCAATAACATAATAACACAGGACATCTGACTTTATACGGGGGAAGCGTTTTCTATTCTAAGGTCACGGTCGCGACAGAAATATCCGGGAAGAAGGAAATCATTATCTAATTTCAGAGATTGCATCAAAAGCGACGCATTCTGTCTGCGTGAAGACAGACTGCGCTGTTAAATTTTGTAATTACATTGTAATGCGTTTAAAATAACCGACAGGATTAAAATCAAAGTTTTTAGATCTGACATCCGTAATAAATTCATGTCTTATATATCCAATTTTCTAATTAAATATTGATTCTTATTCGCTAAGATTTCAATTGAATCTGTGTTAATTCAATTCTTTTGTCTTAAAAATAGCAAATTTTATTCTTTGAAATCATAGACTAACTTACCTATTATAGTTCCAATTAACTTTCAACAATCGTTGGCATAGGTTGTAATTTCCGTTTGCAATTCTTTACACCTATAATGGAAACCAAAGAAAATATCTTAGGTGATAATATAACTCATTGTCAGTTACATTAGCACATCTATAAGTAACCGTTTCATTGAAATTCTTTAAAATGCAAACACATGATTGTTAGCACAATCTTTTGAAAATACATAATAATTTTTATAAAATCCAGAGGATATGTTATGCATAACGGCAAGTAAAATTAAGTAAAGCAGTATCTCAAAAAGTAAGATATCAACAATAATGCTGCTTGTAAATCGTTGATGTAGTTAACTAGAAAAAAATAATATTGGTAAAAACATAATAATAATAATATAATGTGACTTAAAAATGAACCGTAATATATAAAGAAAGTAAAAGATAGTAATATGTATACAAAAATTTTCTTAACAAGAATATTCGCCTAAGTACATTAAATATACATGAGTTAGTCGTTTAAGTATTACAATCAGTCCTCCTAATTCTTACTTCCTCAGTGCATGGGGGGACCCAGCAAGTTATGTTGCTTCACGCTTGGGACAATATGACTGAAATATACCCTGTCGATTCACTAATTTTAAACTGTCGGAAGAGAGTTTCCCTTTGCCAAAACTATCTTAACAAGTGTCATGCTATTTTGGAAGCGTGAGAAATGAGGACGCGGACATAAACGGATTTTGAAACGGTTTAACTAGAGAAAGAAATTTATATAGATAAAGCAAAAATATTTTTTTTTAATTATAATCTCGTTATAAAAATATTTTCTATATTATTATTGTTTATTTTTTAATCGTTCGTAAAATCGATTGGTCACATACCGATTAAATAAAATTAATTGATTGTCAAGGTCAGTAATAATACAATATAATAAATTTTGATCAATTTTTTGTTTTTTAACAAGTAATAGCCGTTTTTGAATTTACATTAAACAATTAAAGATATTTTTAAAAAATTCCATTTTTCAATGTTTAGAAAGATTTAAATATTTTTTGTAATAACTCTTTAAATCTTTTATGTAATAACGTAGATTTGTAATATATGTAATGTAAGAAATTTTAATATTTTCTACAATATTTAATTTAAATGTAACAATATATGAATCCCTTCTTTATTGTTTACCATATGTACAATTTTAAGTGATATGTCAAAATAATAAAATTTATTGGTAAAAAATTATAGTAACTTATAAAGTTTCTGTCTTTCAACGTCTAAATAGTGATTCTTGTGTACTTTACTGCGTATAATAAAAGAAAAAAATTGTAAATTATTTAAATTTGAAGAAGTATTTCATAAAAATAAAATTCTTGATTTCTCAAAATCAATATAGGTAATGAAATTCTATTAACTTTATATTCTTTTTCAGCAGCTAAAAATACATAAAAATTTAGATATTAAAACAGAAATCTTATAATACAAAATTTAATCGTATTATCCAATAATTAAATTGTACAACTGTAAATAATCATAAAATTGAAAGACTATAAAGATTCAACGTAGTTAACTATGCGAAAAATATTTTAATCTTACAATAAACATGTAGACAAATCAATCGAACGTTTTGGTCTGTGATTTAGACCATCTTCAGCGATTACATAATCAATACTTCAAGTGCTCCAAATATAATGCTAATTGTAGGAACAATTATTGTTAAATGACAGTATGTTCCCGTGCACCAACAAAAATGAATACATCATTGAAAAATTTCCAATTGTCAGAAATATGTCTGTGAAAAATGTTTTTTCACAGTCTGTGAAATATGTTTTTTCACAGACATATTTCTAACAATTGGAAATTTTTCAACTTGGAAAATAAAGTTTGATACAAAAATCATATATAATATTAACAATGCTAATAATGATTCAGTTCAAAATGATACGTATTACGATATGGTTAAACTATCAAGACTCGCAGTCAGTACTCTTCCATCCGTTTAATCATTCAATCTGTTGAATTCTGTAACGCTGACGCGTACCGTTAAATTTATCCGATGTGAATTAGATAAAAAAGTCGATAAACGTACCAATTTAGCATAGACAAGATTAATTATTAAAATGTGAAAAGACTAGTCGATTAAAATAAATATTTTCTAACTCATTATATTGTTTTCTAATATATACATAAAAAATGTTGTTTCTTAACAGAATTCAAATAAATTGTAGCAATGAAAGAAATTAAAATACCCATTATACGAGATATTATGTCGCAATATTTTACGTATTCGAGATTAAAATAATATTGCGTTTCTCCAATAGATTATTTTAGAAAAAAATAAAAAATTGTTTGCAAAATTTTAGAAGGCACAGTTTGTAAGATATTTCCTCTAAAATAAGAAGTGCCCGAAAGTGCTGTAAACGCAGTATAATCGCTAAATGGTGACAAAGTCTTTTTGTACAATTAGAAAACCTGTCGCTGCCGTTTGCCGACTTAACGGATCACTAATGCAACGCAATATCAATTGAATCGGATAAATGGTTCAACTATTGCGTAACAGTTCCTTTATCGAGCTTAATAGTTATCATTTCATTGCTTACAGCGTTAAAGTAGCAGTTCTATTCATTAGAACTTTAGAACAATTGTGTTCTGACTTGGCGACAGGTGCAGCGATCTTGAAGAATAGAAATTGGTTTTGTTGTTGTTATAATAATTAAATTTAATTTCGCTAGTATAGTGTATATAATAAATCATTTAAATCACATATTCATTCATTTTTATAAGAATGCGATACGATTATAATCAAGTATTGCTCATAGAAAAAAATTAATAAATTTGAAAATAAAAATTTTACGGTCCAGTTTCTACCTAAGTTATTTCTCTTTTTGCAAAATTATTTTCTTAACAAAAACTAATTCTACCATCAAAATCATAGATTACCAAGGAGTTGATATATTTTTATCTTATATTTACAGTTTTTAAACACATTTTGAAATTGCTTTATTATTTTGTGTTTAAACAAGGATTTTCTATAAACTAATGTAAGACAAAACTGATTAGAAATCTGTATGTAAAAATTTTGGAACAATTACCTTTAATTACTCAAATTTTATAGAAATACATTATATCAAGAAATTAATTATTGATTGTTATAAAATCACTTCAATCATTATAGAAAATTCTTAGAATTAACTAGCATAATGGCTTTCTATGAACGATTGAATGCCACTGAAAGAAGAACTAACTCGTTGTTAGGCCAATTGTTGAGTACATTATCATTGATAATAGGGATCATTGGTAGGCAGGAGTATCGTAAGTGATATTATAGTTATTCCAAAGTTTAACTATAATCAACAAATATCTGATCAGAACTAAAAAGTGGATTAAAAGAGAATTATTAATTACAACAATTTTTAGAGGAATATTAAAAAAAAATTAAAGAGAACAACAAAGCAGTTTATTTCGCGATCAGAAGATTATGAAGACTGGTTGTTGTCAAAGCATTCCAATCGATATTCAATTCGGCATAGACGGAGCAACTGGGGGATTCGACTTACCGGGTTAAATGCATCCGTAAACGCGACTACAACCCCCGGATGTAATCCGAGTCTTATGGAAGTAACTGCCCCGCGGGTATTAATGCGTCAGCGACCGACCGAGGTTGTTTCGCGACTGACCCGCACCATTTCAATTTCTATCGTGGTGTACGCATTCAGCATAGCTCGTCACGTGATGCGGTCAGTTAAAACGGCATCCCGTAAGTGCACGCCGGCAGAGATTTAGGCACCGTGTGATTTTGTGTCTACGTCGCACGAAGGTAATTCAGAAGAAGTACGAGAATAGCGCGATCAATTTTTGCCGATCAACCTTGCGCGATTTAAATTTTCATTTTCAATGATAGATTTGTTTTGGCAATCCGTGGTATTTGTTTCGTTGACATTGCTTAGACTAACGATTTAGAATAGATAATATCTGTGATAATTTAACAAAAAAAAAAATGAGAAAGACAGAGAATTTTATATTTATATATAATATAATTTTATATTTATATAAAGAAATATTTATATAATTTTATATTTATATATAAATATATTTACTAAATAAGAGTGCAACACCCTTTCTAATAATAACGATAGTAAAAGATAAAGTTAAACTTTTACTGTGATATTAACATTAATATAAACTTAATTTTTAATACGAGGAATAATACTGTGTTAACGATAAACGACGTGAGGGAAAATTATTCGGTATACACGAACATAAGTATACATACATGTCGGTATGTATACAGAAAATGTGGAGGTTTATGCGACGAGTATATGCATGATACTCTAAAGCTCAATAATAGCGACGGTGATGGGGAGAGGCTCAAGTTCTATTAAGAGAAGCGTTTCCAGCATCTATTATTATAGTACATGATAGTTGAAAGTTACAAATATCCCTTGACATTTATGAATTATTACAGTATTAAACTTGATTTCTTACACAATTTTCTTTTTGTATTATATATATATATATAGTTTAAACTAAAAGAGAAGAAAAGAGAAAAGAGATCTTTGAAGAGAAATTGCTTCTATCATATTAAATAAGAGATGTCATGATATAAATGTTATAATATAAACATTTTTTCTCATTCATTTTTATTTTCAATTTATTTTTATTTTCTCAATTGTTGCTTTGCTTGCCGAGATAAAATCAATATTTTAAATGGTTTTAGTCATCATTCGCATAAATCGATAAGTGGTTGGTTTATATCTGTACTTTAATTCATATTTCCACAGACGTCAACATTTATCTTTATAGTTTACAAGTGCTCGAGAACTGTGTTACATAATCAATAAGTGTTTCCGCGATGATAAAACATGGTCCGTAACCGCAAAGATATTTGTATAATCCACTAAAAGGTTTGAAAAAAATATGACGAAATTCTTAGAGTGCATCGAGCGCGAAGCGACGAGAAAGTATTCGGCGACTGCTCTGGTAAAATTAGAGTTCAAAACCGTCAGAAAGGGTGATAGATTAGATAAGGTGTAACGCGTTTTGTAAAGCACATGTTGAAAGGGAACAATACAATCCGTATCAAAATTAAAAACGCTATCATTTTTCCGATTTATTCAAATAACGCTTTTTTGAGTTTTATTCATTTGTATTATAAATAATTTCTATATCTCGACCTGACATTAGTCCTGGAACATTGCGTTTTAATGTGTCTCGAGCACGCCAAGTTTTTCTTCACTAGTACAATATAATCCAGTTGATTACTTCAATCACTTTCAGATTGTCTCATGTCTCATGATCTTAGAATTAACAGGTTTTTTAAAAATAAGCTTTTCCGAGGTTCTTTTTTGAATAATAAAATACTTGGCTAATTGCATTAATTTTATATCCGCTTTTTATTAGAAAAGATATAATATTTAATATCTTTTTTATGCACTTGATGTGTATTATTTCTTTTTTTTAAGTTTTTATAGTTATTATATCGTTACAACAATAAAGTGTTAATTTTCAGATCGTGTTATTAAAAGAATTTAATTAGTGATCGATTTTTAAGTTCAATGTATTTTGCTAATAAGATGATTGGGATTTATAATGACTGTAAACAAATCGATGTTGTACACAACCGCGTTTACATATAAAACTTTACTTGTTACTTATTCTATATACTATAAATTTACTCCGATCTAACGAAAATGCATTTGTAAAAAAAGATTACGAAATAAAGAAAGATATTTAATAATATTTATGTAAACACTATATCGAGAATCTTTGATTTTTTTGATGAACCATATCAATAGTTTTTCTCTCGTAAGGTTAGAGTTAATAAGATTGTAAATATTTAAAAATGTATATAATATATACCTTGATGTTATGATATACAATTTTTTTCTGTCTAATAAGGATTTACTTTTTAAAACAGACGAAAAATTAAAAAAGCAAAAAGAATTGATTTTAGTAAATTTGTTTAAAATTTTATTTTAATATTAAATGAGATAAATTTGTTACAAAAATTACAAAATAAAAGAAAATATGTGACAATACTTATTCAAATTTCACTTAGATTTTTCCTTTTTCCTTGCAATGTTAACATTATATATAGAATTTTTCTAATGCAATATTTTAATTAGGGCTGTTAATTTTGACAATTTTGAAAATATAAAATTTCGAATTTTCAAAGTTAAATTTAAACCTTCGAAGTTTTCAAAATTAATTCTGAACCTTCGAAGTTTAAGTACTTCAAGTTTCGAAATACTTAAACTTTGAAGGTTTGGAATTAACTTTAAAAGAGTTCAAATTCTGTCAAAGTTTCAAATCTTCAAAATTGTCAAAACTAATAGTTCTATATAAAATTTTATATAATTTTAATCTCTTAACATTTGAGTCTTTTTTATCTAACAAGAATTTATTTTATAAAACAAACAAAAAATTAGAAGTGAAGAGAAATCGATTTTAGTGACCGCTATTCTTTGTTTACATGACCTTAATTTCCATATTTTCTTACAATATATCTTAAATCGATTAAAAATGTCAGTTATTTTGTCTATTACTAAAATACATGTTATTCAATGATTTAAAATTAAAAGCAGATTTCGCAATAAATTTGCAATTTTGGATCTTTGTTAAGAAAAAGAGCCAAGCGGGATTATATAATTTTGGCGCATTGTCTCCAATGTATTTTCCTATAACGTCCTTGATCTGAATTGTTTTTTCTGTTTGTGTATAATGAAATTTCATTATGAACTCATATTATCTTTCTGGTATTAGATAATTGCCGAAATAATAATTAAATTCAGTTAATAGTTTCCAACGAACCATAAAATTTTTGAACGCACCTTTTGAGCTGAACACTTGTCTTTTTTATATTTAAATATCACTTAAGCTGTCAGCAAAATTTGAATTATGATACATGCAATTTTATGCAATTTTTAGTGACCTCAGTAAATAACTAAATGTGCATAAATCGACGCGAGATAGATAACTTGTTATAATTTTCGCAGATAAATACTCGACATAAAACATATATTTTTCTTTGTTACCGCACTATCCAAAAAAGTGCAGTAAATAAAAAATAGAAACTACACTTTCAGATCCTATCACAAGTCTCTTCTTGAAACGAGGTCTGAAAGCTCATATACGGAGAAATTGCACATAATGTAGGTACGGAATACTCTTTTAAAAAGGAAGAATAATGTAGCTTGAAGAATGCTACAACCGTTATTAGATTACTAAAATAGCTATACTAAAATACCGCTGATCTAAACGCGAAGGGATGATAGTGCTTCAGTGAAGACCTCAACCCTCTGCAACTTACGTTCGAGCTTTTTCGTTCGTCGCTCACTATGCACGAGGGTGACACTATATCGTAGACTACAGCGTGTAAACTAAATTATGACGGAGAGGACGGAAGAGCGCGAGGCGAATTTTCGTGCGTGCGGATGTGCGCCCCCTGGCAGCACCCCCGACGTGAAGTGCGCATTCGGCCGAGTATGAGGGGTTGTTTTGGACAACGAGAAAATGCCGCGGCAATCACGGCGATTTTCACCGTCCACGAGAATTAAGGCCGGATTCCCTTTAGGTCACGCCAGAGAGGGTAACTACCCTCCTCGCGATCCATACGACGGCAGTGTCCAGCGACGTCTAGCGGCGAGTAAACGAAAGGTTCACGAGACTTGCGCGCACGGGTATTCGACTTAAATCTAGGTGAACTGATTGAAAGTAAAGGTTATATACTAGACCGGTAAAACCAGAGTAATTTCTCGGAAAATTAAAATAACTATAAAGTATTATATTTATTAGATTATTTATTACTTTATTAGATTGAAATATTAAAGAAAAGAATTATTTAAGTAATAATAATAAATAGTAATAAATGTTTTTAAACAAATTCTTTTAAAAATAGTAATAGTTTTTTTTAAATCTGACGCAAACATTTTGTTGATAATCTATAATTAAAAAATGTTTATTATCTTTTTAAAAGCAAAATTTAACATTTTATATTTTATATTTATATGGAAGATATGTTCATACAAAGCCTTCATGTAAAGATTTCATCGAGTTTTGGTTTATTTATAATTTTATTACATCTTTTTTATATCTTGAATGTATGCTAAATATAATAACATATACTCTACGTGTAATATTTTATTAAGTACATCGTGCTATTCAAAAGAAGCGATTATCTGTGTGACGTACATTATAAAATTAGGACGTATTATAAAAATTAATAAGTAAATATATTCTATTATTTAAAAAAAAAAATGAATCGTTTCTTCACCTACATTTCAGGCAGGAATATGATATCAATTTGTTAATATTCAATATTGGTCGTCTGAAAACCTATATAAAACACAAATAAAGATAACAGAATGATATTAATGAATGTACTCGTTCTTGTAGGTAATTATTTATTCTGCTTTAATATTGATACGTTTTTGTATATATAGTATTATAATTCGTCGCGCAATAATAATTTATCTACAGTATTTTACATATATTTTTTATATCTACTCTTCTATTATTATAAAATACCAATAAAAACGACAGTCAGAGATGTATGTGTTTCTGTGATTAAATGACACAATTAT